CTCCTGGATGAAAGAGAGAACTGGAACTTTCTGGTCTTCTACTAGAGCTGCTAGGAAATACCTTAATTTCACTCAGAGGAATTTTTATTGATATGCTGTCTTGGCAACTTGGAAATTGCTTATGAGAATGCCCAAGGCAATGGAAGATTAGAACCATCATTTAATTCAGTCAAATTTCTTCCCCTCATTGTTAAGGTGGTCTGCACTCTATCCAAGAATGGGCGAGGACTCTGAGGAGGGTGAGGAGATTGCTTGTTAATTTCAAGTTGACTTGGACATTCAAATGATCTGGTCACTATATGACATAATATCCTCCAAAGCAGATAGTGGTATTGAGACATTCAGATGTGAGACTCATACAAGAGCTGAAGGAGAATCTGGTATTGAAACTGAGTCATCAAGATGGATGCAGGAATAGTCAGAGAATTGGTCCACATCCCAAGTTAGCAGTGAAGGACCAGAATCAAACTGTAGTGCAGAGTACTTCAGTGTAAAAAGCAAAGTACGAAGATCTGAAAGCAGGTGTACCAATGCAGGAAGTGCCACCACTGTAAGACAAGCTGAGATGGCTCTGACTTAAAGACTGGAAGGAATCAGTGTAGATGGCTCAACAGTTGAAGGAAGATAAGATGGAAGTAAATTCTTTCAGACTAATACTGCTGAAGAGTCCGCTGAGGGGAAAAGACATGAACTGTCAAAACTGATCCTTATGTCAGCACTGAAATCACTGATTTAGAGATGGTAACAGATAGAAGTGGTTGAGCCTGTTCATAGAATCACAGAGTGGGAAGGGACCACAGGGGCCATCAAGTCCAACCCTCTGTCATGCAGGAACTCCATCAAAGCACTCCCGACAGATGGCCATCCAGCCTCTGCTTAAAAACCTCCAAAGAAGGAGACTCCACCACATTCGAGGCAGCATATTCCACTAACTAGGGTATTTCGATGTTGGCTAGGGTATTTTTAGCAGCTCCAACAGCAAGTAGCATGCCTGCTTATTGAAGCACAAAATTCACAATAATCTCCCCTTAATGAACTAAGCAATAACCAACTACTGTACAATACTTCAGACAACAGTAACAAGACAAGACATCAAAGTGAGGTGTAGCAAGGTGTGATATGTACTCATATGGTAAGCTCAAGTAGGACTGAAACCAACAAGGTGTTCTGGATTGGAATCTTTGACAATCTTTCTGAATAGATTTCCTCAGACTGCTTGGACTCAGATGAATATCTCTGTTGAATTCAAAAATGACTCTTGAACGTAGCCTCAGTCTTCAGAGGAATGTATCATGCTGTGCACCGAAGACCTTTAAAATTCACCTTCCGAAGAACCACTAGAGACTAGAAGGTTCTGTGGCCCTCTTGCTGCTAAATCACAGTAGTGATTGGGATGATTGTAGAATATCACCCTATAGTGAAATCTGCCTCAGTCTTGAATTGAAAAGGAAGGCAATGAAGGAGTCTGAACTGATGAAGTCAACCTGATCCAAGGAAACATATCTCAAAGGCCAGACTGTAATAAAATTAGAACCTACCAAGGATACCTGTGACTATGGCAAAATTTTAAAGGACTGATACGAAAACTCAGGGGAGGAAATAGGAAAATTCAGAAAAACATTTTTAGTCTGTATTTTATTTTGCAAACAATAAAATTAGACATGGGGATGTTCGTATAAGAATATGAATACCCCAGCGCAGGTGGAGATAACAAGGGTCCGGCCAGATTGTCCACTCACCCTTCCACTGCTGCCGCAGGCTCCGCACTCCCTTCCTATCAATCCAGCGCTCACAGTTGGCTAGTCACTCCTGGCAGGAGGCGGGACGACAAGCCTCCCTGCCAGGTCGAAGAGTAGCTCACAGACGTGGCGCTCCAGAGCAATTGGAAGGAAGCGCGGAGCTCCCGGCAGCAGATAGCGAACCCCCTCATTATCTCCACCTGTGAGGGGGTATTCATATACGAATATCCCCATATCTAAATAAAATGTTTAAAACATTGCACCGGCAGAATAATTCTGAAGAATAGTTCTAAAGTACAATAAGGTCCAGGAACAGGGTATGGGATGTCTGCATTCTTTTCCATAGTTATAATGGAGAAGTCTACAAATTTGGAATGGAACATAAAACCTAGAGAACTACAGTCATACTAGTCTTACTTGAGTATCAATTATTTTGCTTTCATCTAGCCATCAACCATAGCATGTCAATTACCACTGAAGCTAGAGAAGATGGCAGTTTATAGTTAAGATAACAGAGCTTATCAGCTGTATGGAGGAAAACAGAAGTATGGAAAACAGCTGAAGATCTCCAGAGAGATAGCTATGTTAGTCTGTTGCTGCAGAAACAATGAGTCTTAAAGACTAGGCAGTGTATTATGGCATTAGTACCAGTTCATAAAATCTGTTAAACTTTAACTTGTCACAAGACTTTTTGTTGTTGTTCTAACTGAATAGTAGTGCACTAGGTATCTTGCTGTCTTCCTCTCCTCCCGCAAAAGTTTACTCTTCTACTCCATGCCTTACTTCTTAAAGAAATTCAGGCACAGTTCTTTGTTAGATTATGATAATATTCAAAACACCACTGCTGCTGTAAAGGGGGGGGGGGGAAGGCTCTCACTAAATTAGATTTTTAAAAACTGGTTTCTTCTGAACCAGGACCATAAGTCAAATTCAGTGGTGCCTCGCATAGCGATCGCTTGGTTTTATGATGAAATCGCTTTGCGACGCATTTTTTGCGATCGCAAAAGTGATCACTTTGCGATGTTCTCTATGGGGGAATTTCGCTTTGCGATGATCGGTTCCCTGTTTCGGGCACCGATCATTGCAAAGCGATGATTTTTTAATAGTTGATTGGCGGTTTCAAAATGGCCACCGGGTAAAAAAAATGGCCGCCCGCTGTTTTTTGGGACGGATTCCTCACTTAAGAGGCACCAGAAATGGCCACACTATGGAGGATCTTCGCAGAACGGTGAGTTTTAAGCCCGTAGGAACGCATTAATCACATTTTAATGTGTTTCTATGGGCTTTTTAATATCGCATAGCGACGTTTTCATTCTGCAGCGATTTTTGCAGAACGAATTAACGTCGCTATGCGAGGCACCACTGTATTAAAGAGTTTTTACACCAGACCTGAGCAGGAGATATATGTTTATTTCTAAGAGTAAGTGGTTGATTTATAGAAGGGGGAACCAACACACCACATCAACTCAAAAAGCAGACTCCATGCCCCTGTACATGGAGAAGAGAGGCTACTGGGGCAAGGGTGGGATCATGGGATTTATCCCAGTTGAAGCTGGGTCCACTGGCAAGTGCAATATAATGGACAATACTGATTAGGAGTATGCCATTTCGTTTTCTTGGACTCCAAATTTGGGGATTTTCTTAAGAATGCTCCAAGCACAATTGTTGGCATTTCTGCCAACAGACACACACCTACAGGTCCTGTCTTCTAGGCTGCCTCTGACTTATCTCCTATACAAAAAGAAAACTGCCCCAGCATTTCCTGGGAGGCCTAGGTCTTTGTGCCAGACACTGTTTTTAGGGCGTGCGCTAATGGCCAACAAAGCTACACCTCCCACAAAGACCTTGTCTTCTCAGGAAGCACTACGCAATTTCCTTTTTCTTTCCATAAGGGTTAGGCCCAAGACATGGCAAACGCTATTTTTATTTCTACAGTGTTCAGCCTTTGTACGATCTATAACTTTCCTGTTTGTCTGTTTCAACAGTCCACGGTGCTTTTAAAGTTCTCCTCCTGCACCATATTTCAAATGAATCAAAAAAAATTCTCTGTTGCATTTCTTCACCATCCAGTTTTTATATCCATATACAGCAACCAGGAAAACTACAGCATGGTTGATCTTAGCCTTCATCCTCAGTGACACATCCTTACACTTGATAATCCTCTCTGTTACCTTCATAGTTACCTTTGCAAGTCTCAGTCATCTTTTGATTTCTCAGAGATACACAAAGTATAAAAACCTCAATTTCCTTGAGGTTTATCCATCTGCAGAAATCTGAAGTTTATGGACTACATATCCCAGAAGTCTGCAGGAATTCCCCCAGATAGATCTCTAGTGGCTTTAATAAAGAAAACATATTTCTGACAGGTAATTTTAAGTTCCTAAGATAATGAACTCAGACTGCAGAAGCCATTTTCCTCTTGTGGAAGAGACAGAGGAAATGCGCAGGCAGGGGCTAAAATCTTTGGGAGTTGCAAGGGGTTATGGGTGGAGTAATCACTGCCCATTAAGCTCTGTACAGGCAACTTCTATTTAAAAAGAAACCCTACCAGATCCTTAATGCTTTATAGTCTCGTCAGACCATCCACAGTGGCCAACTGGCTAGTGGTATTCCTACAGACACCTTCTGCCCTTTTTTCCTTCCAGCTTCATTAGGAGTTGTTTCAAGACATTTATAATCCGCCACTTAGACACCTTTTCCTATGGGAATCCATTCTGTTTCTCCTTATTCTGTTATTAGCATTTTCTCCACAATATAGGTTACACATTAGGACAATCAAGGCATGCTCATTTCATTTAGAATAATCCATTGCATTTCCATAGAAATGCAGCATACAATTTGGTACCATGTTTCCCCGAAAATAAGACAGGGCCTTATATTAATTTTTGCTCCAAAAACACATTAGAGCTTCTTTTCAGGGGATGTCAATCTACATTTATTCAAATACAGTCATGTCATCTTCTTCCGGTTGCTGCACAATACTGCACAATGGAGGGCAGGATTTTACTTAACTAGGGCTTATTTTTGGGGTAGGGCTTATATTACGAGAATCCTGAAAAATCACACTAGGGCTTATTTTCAGGCTAGGTCTTATTTTGGGGGAAACAGGGTAGTAATTATCTCTATTCTCCATAAAATAATTGAGTTCGTTTAATGAGAAGTTAACTATTTTGGGAAATGTACAAGTTGATCTATAATACAATAGTCCTCTTCAAAATATAATCATACAGAAAAGGTGAGCACTAAAATATATTTACTTACGTGCAAAGAATTGATTGATCCTCACGATCTGTAAAAGGAAAAAAAATAACATTTTCCACATATCATTCAAGAATATTTAAGTACATAATGAGTATGTTCACAGTTCATGACATTAAAAGGATTCTAGACCACGATATAAATTTTCTGCAAACGGTTATGGATTGTTCTATTACAATATTTAAATATGTTTTAATACAGATAATGTCTAGATGGGCGGCATATAAATGCAATAAATAAATAAATAAATAATGATAGGGACTCCTATGCACTTATACTTTGATAAGTTTTAAAAGGTGTTTTGCTTATAAGTTACCTAGAGACAGAAGATCTGCAGATTTTTCAAAGTTAAATCATGACCTCTTTCTACTTTATCAAATCTACTTTTTCCACATATTTTCTGTGATGCATGCAGAGAAAGCAAATTAAAGAAAATTCTCATTATCTTGTTGAATTCTATACTGGAAGTTAAAAACTAATGCTACATTTAAAAGGCCCTAAGATAGCTCCCATCTTCAACTTTTTCTTTTTATGGATATAAACACTGCATACTACACTCAATTCAAAAATATGCTAAAAGGCTCCAAAAACAATTACGGAATTCAACTGTGAACTAACACATCCACAACTACACAGTCACAATTCCCTCTGCCAACTAATTCGAGTTTGTGACCCAATAGCACCCTCTATTGCAACCGTTTTCATTTTCAGATGTGAAAACTATATGTACTTTCAAACGTTCAAACTTCACCCAATTCCCCCAAGATTTTTTAAAAATATGTAGCCATTTTCTTTACTACAACAAAAACCCTCACAAAAAGCACAGCTACTCATTCTGATTTTGACAGACTCCATCAACTCGAAGGGGCAACTATGCTACTAAACTTCATGTAATTCTATCAAAAACAGAATAGCTGCTTATTCATTTCCTTTAGTTTTCAAAAGTAAGGCTCTGCTTTTAACCAAAGGCAAACCCAGTCAAGCCTGAAGTAGCCCAAGTTAAACACATTCACTTTACAAAGCTGGTCAGTCTTACAAAGGCAATCTGAATCCGTCTGTGCTGCAGACTCTTAATCCTGTTAGTGCAACTATGGTTGTGGAAGGTTGGTGACATAATCAGAGAGGGTGATTTGTGGAAATTGAACACTTCCTACTTCTGAGCTGTGGCTCCCATTGCTCCTGTGTAATCCCTTTCATCATGTGGAAGCCATGGGAGCCAAGGTAAAAGAAGAAACATGAGAATAGTCATAGACACAATGAGAATCAAACACCCATGGAAAATAAAGACAAAAGATGAGGAGCAAGGAGATTTCTTTTTCTTCTGCCACAGAGGAAAATTAACTGAGCTAAAGTAAATAAGGCGGACCTAGTAATGTGCATGGAAGAGAGCTGGGCTACCACCAGAATGCTTATATTCAGCCCTAGAAATTTCCAGAGTGTTTTGCATAGGCAAAGAACAAGTCAATGTGTGTGAATCGCAGAGACCACAAAATATAAACACTTTGGGAGACTGATCGTTCATGATGTCTAAGCAAATGGGTACATTAACAGAATCCAGATGTTTATTCTCCATGCTAAATGTACAGTAAATTTATGGCCATCATCTTTCAGGTTCTGAATGTGTGGTATAGTGGTGCCTCGACTTACGACCATAATCCGTTCCAGAAGATGGGCGTAACTCGAAATGGTCGTAAGTCGAAGCACCATTTCCCACAGGAATGCATTGAAACCCCATTAATCTGTTCTGGATGATGATGATGATGATGATGATGATGATGACGACGACGACAACCACCACCACCACCACCACCACTACCACCCAGCCAGCTCCATCCAAACGTGCAATGGGGCTGGGAAAATAATAATATAGTGGGGTCTTGACTTGAGAACTTAATCCGTATTGGAAGGCGGTTCTCAAGTCAAAAAGTCTGTAAGTCAAGTCTCCATTGACCTACAGTGCACTGAAAACCGATTAATCCTGTAACAGGCCATTTTTGTTCCATTTTGGTTTTTTTCTGGTCTGTAAGCCAAATCTCAGGCTGCAAGTCAAACCTAAAAAAACTCAAAAAGTCTGTAAGTCAAGTCGTCTGTAACTCAAGGGTCCACTGTAATAATTAAAAAACCCACACAGACAGCCAGCCCCACCCGAATGCGCAATGGGGCTGGGGACAAAGTAACACACACACACACACACACACACACAGCCCCATCCAAACGTGCGGTGGGGCTGGGGAAAAAACAAAACAAAAAAAAAAAAACCCACACAGCCAGCCCCACCCAAAAGCATGATGGGGCTGGGGGAAAAACACACCAAAACACAAAAAAACTTAAGAGCACAGAAACATAACCCCCCCAACCCAAACCCACCCTGCAAAACAAAGTAAATGTACTTACTCAGGAGCAGAAAGCAGCTCCATGCAGTCTGAAGCCTCCTCCAATCGCACTCACTCTAACCACTTAACTACAAAGAAGCAGCCCCTTCGCCTACCAACAGTTAGCAAATTTAAATTCCCCGCTTTTTCCCCTGCCCTTTTCTGGTCACAACTCAAAACTCCGTCCGCAAGTCGAAGCAAAATTTTGCGGCCGGAGCTGGTTATAACTTGAAATGGTTGTAAATAGGGATGTTCATAAGTTGAGGCACCACTGTATATATCTTACTCATTGAAATTTGTTGGTGTGGGTGGACAATTTATGATTTGTTGCTTATCGCTTTATTGCTTTTTAGTCTAACTGTTGAGAGTAGTGTTCAGCATTAAACAGGGAGGATTTGATTTAAATGAAATTGCTATAAGTTTTAAAAATTTGAAATTTTTGACAATTTAAATCAACAAATCAGTTCTTGAAATTTAACTTGTGATCTGAGCAATAACAAGTTTTTAGTTATGTAAATAAGGAAGGAGAAAAGCAAAATAATAGGCTAAACTTAGGCCACAAAGAGCAAGTGCAAACAAATTTATTTATTTATCTAAAATAGTTTTACCCCACCTCTCTCCTAAAAAGGACCCATGGCAGCTTACATAATTACAAACACAACATTAAAAGCTAAAAACAGTAAATTATTCAAATATTAAAGAAGAATTAATAACATATTTTAAATGTTAAGTTAAAATGTTACAAACAATAGATTTAGAAGCAACAAAATATAAACCATCCTGTTCATTGTCTCCTAGACCAGTGGCCCCCCAAACTTTTAGGGACCGCGGACCATTTGGGGGCCCCTCCGCGAGCGTGACGCACCCACCATGCATGTGGGGGGGCAGAGATCCATCTCTGCAGCCCAGTTCAAGGAAGCCCACAGACTGGCACCGGGCCGTGGACTGGGGGTTGGGGACCTCTGTCCTAGACAGTCAGTTACTAAGGAAAACCCTGCCTGAAGAGAAAGATCTTCGCCTGCTTACAGAAGGAGAGTGAAGATGGGACCAGCCTGCCCTTCTGTGGAAGGAGTTACAGAGTCTGGGAGCAGTGACAGAAAAGGCCCTCTCCCATGTCCCACACCTGTGAGGGTGGTCAAATTGAGAGAAATGCCTCTCTTATTGATCTCAACAGCCAGCAAGGCTCATTGAGAGAAATACAAGAAGGCTTCTTACAAAAAGCCTGAGGTGCAGCACAGTGTCAAATGACAAATACGGACTGCACCTGACCTTTTGCGTGCACTGGCACAGACAATACTCTTCTTTTTGTTCATTTTTACTCCTAAACTCCACTCATTTCATATTCCTAACACTCTTAAGTCATACTACCTCAAATACATACTTCAAAATACATAACAAAATGTTGAGATTCTTAACAATCCAACACAGGAAACAAACTGCTTTTCGAACATTAGTCTAACGGTGATGGTATTGGAACAAGGACATGTCGACAGCCCTATTCAGGAGTTCAGGAAAGGGTTAATCCAAATGTGTGAGGAAGATGTCCTGCCAAGATGATCCTAGGCCAGGCACTAACTCCTACCCTAACTACTTCATAGTAAATATTGGGAAGAGGAAGTGGAAAAACCTCATATATATTTGACCTGAGCTCTTTGCATATGGGCAGTACCTATCCAAACTATTATGTCATTAAGCAAAACTGTATGCATGTATTTTTGACTATAGTCACTGACAACTATATATCAAAGGGCAAAAGATAACAATGATGCATTTTAAATTATTTATGAGCCCAATCTGATGATGTGGTTTATAGGAAACTCATTCAATATTAACGTATTTCTGTAATAATTAAGACTTTGAGCATGCCCAAGAAACATATACAAATTCCTGCAAAATTATGCCACTGTTTACAGAAAGGCAACTATTACTACTAAATCTAAAAAAGTTATCAAACTGGTTATAGAGGTAGAGGTTGGGAGTGAGTATCCGCTGTGCCTCCTTCACACGACTCAATTATGAGAATGATTATCATCATCTACTTCACCGAGACAGACATTCAATCATGAGTAAGACTGCAATTTTCACACTGAAGCAATTTTTCAAGATGCAACTCTAGGATCTGATACATACTATTCCATATTATGCTTCTCAATTTTCATGCATCTAGAAACACACTCACATGAAGCACTGGAAAGCTACAAGTCATCAGCTACACACTTAGGACCTTCCCTACATAAGGAGTATGACTAAAGTTCAAAAATGCTTCAAATCCAGCTCTTTATGGACACAGACCCCATACATGGAACTGTACAAAGACCAGAAAGGCACATTTTCGTGGATTCATGGAGAACCACGTTGAAGAAGGCACATTTTCTATTTCTTTCAACTGAACATTCTATATTAGACACAGTTGACATACCAGCCAGGAGAACAGCCCAACTCTTGTTCTAGTTGCTCCATACTACAAAGACATGACTCATTTGGCATTTTCCAGCTCTTCCATACATATTTGAGAATCTAGTCTAATTCTAATTCACAAGTACTCTATCATTAAATTTTAAAGAAGCAGACTTTGGTTATTAATTCCTATACACTGGTGCATACATGAAATCGCTTAGCGACGCTGTTTTTGCAATCGCAAAAGTGATTGCTTTGCGATGGTCCCTACAGGGAAATTTCGCTTTGTGATGATCGCAGGGAAGCGATCATCACAAAGCTCCCATTTTTGGCCAGCTGATTGGCGGTTTCAAAATGGCCGCCGGCTGTTTTCAGGCATGGATTCCTCGCTTTAGAAGCACTGAAAAAGGCAGCGCTATGGAGGATCTTCGCTTAAAGGTGAGTTTTAAGCCCATAGGAACGCATTAATCGCATTTTAATGCGTTTCTATGGGCTTTTTATTTTCGCTTAGCGATGTTTTTATTTTCGCATAGCAGCGATTTTTTCTGCACAAATTAACATTGCTAAGCGAGGCACCACTGTATTCACTGACGTTTCAATAACTGAAGGGGTAAATGAGGCTTCAATGAGGCTGGAAGTCTAACAGCAGCCAACTGAAACTTACTCTCATGTATGGAAAATAACATGGAAGAATGGAGAAAGCTTGTAAAAACAGCTTTTAAAAGAGATTTTTAAAGAGATCCTTTCCCTGTGGTAGATGTTTTTTATGTTACCAGCCTTAGGCTGTTATTTTGTTTGGTCATCGCTATCAAGGTTTTCCTTTTGGTTTGGATTATATCTCTCTTCAGGGGGTCAGGAGTTTTTTATTTGTTGTGAACTGACCAGAATACTGAATTGCCACTCGATGGCTGGTATATAAATGTGAGAAATAATTTTTTAAAAAAACACCATCAGGTTGGTCTGAGAATTTTTAGGTTTCTGAAAAGTAAAATGTTAGAAGAAGCACTACTAGCTGATTTCAAAGAAGCAATATATAAATATAATATGCAGAATATGTGCAGCCCCAACTCATAGAAGGAAGCAACAAATTTAGTTAATTTAACCAGTCTGTGGGATTAGTAACTCTACTTAAATGTCAGTACTGCTAAATTCTTCAAAAAACTGAATTTGATAGCAAGCTTACAAATCCAGTCAGAACTTTATAAGGAATCCAAGAAGCAAGAACTTAGCTTACTGAATGGTGATTCTGTGTCAGTGTAGCTTAAGTAAGGTAAAGGTTCCCCTTGACATTTAGTCCAGTCGTGTCTGACTCTAGGGAGCAGTGTTCATCCCCGTTTCGAAGCCATAAAGCCAGAGTTTGTTCGGAGACAGTTTCTGTGGTCATGTGGCCAGTGCGACTAGACACAGAATGCCGTTACTTTCCCACCATGGTGGTACCTATTTATCTACTCATATTTTTACATGCTTTCGAACTACTAGGTTGGCAGGACCTGGGACAAGCGATGGGAGCTCACTCCATCACGTGGATTCTATCTTACGACTGCTGGTCTTCCGACCTTGCAGCACCGAGGTTTCTGCAGTTTAACCCGCAGCACCACCACGTCCCATCAGTGTAGTTTAAGTCCCATTCTACTGGGCCACAGACATTAGCTCGGAGGTATCCAGGCTGTGGTGTATTACCTACCACACAGCTAGGCAACATTAGTGGGCCAGAGCCAAATGGACCAGAGCCACACAAATAAATACCCACAAAAAACAAAACAACCCCATCCCCATAAAATTCCAAATTAGATGTCAGTAGAAGTCCACTTAAAACCGGAAGAGCTGGAAGACACTCTATAGATCATCAAGTCCAGCTCCTATCAAGGAGGCTCAGAGGGAAATTGAACTCCCAACCTCTAGCTCTGCAGCCAGACGCAATCCTCAGAACAGTTTAGGTTTCTCAATTTTTTTTCTAAGTGCATGCTCCTCTGAGCTCAAGGGTTAAGCTACACAGAGCACAGCCGCCCTCCTTCCCTTCTCTGTGCAGGAGTGCCCAATAATAACCACAGGCAGATGCAGAGGGAGCACTGCTTTTCAGTGCTCTTCCTTTCATCTGCCAGAAACAACAACTGCAGTTAAAATAATGCCAAACTCTTAAGTAGAACAGCTGCCAATGAATTCATTCTGTAGCTCTTTATTCACTTGGCAAATTGAAGAATATTTATTCATTGAAAGCCCATTGTCCAAAAATATATTCTCATTTCTATACAAAAATCCAAAAGACAAGGACCCAATTAGTTTAGTTTAGTTTAGTTGATTTATAATTAATGTCAAGCATTATTAATTTAACACAAAATTTAGTATACCCATGCAGTCATTCTTAATGTGGCACAATCACTGTTCTGGATTACAGCTTCCATCAACCATAATCAATGAAAATCCTAGCTTCTCATTTTACACAGATGAGACCACTAACACCTTATGGGACTGTTTTGTGGATTACCTAGCTTTTAAATAGTTTTCTGAGGACATGAAGAACTTAGGATTGCCCTGAGCTTGCTTATACTTCTATGGATGGACAGTGCAGTCTTTACTACATTTATGCTGAAGTATGACAAGAATATAATATATATTTAAATAGAACACATTAGGTCCTGCAATAAAATGTTGTTGTGTGGATTTTTTTTTTCTGTTTTAGATTCCAGCCACTATTTCTTTGTTTGGATATGGATGAAGGTAGATACATTCATGTCCAACCTCAGTAACAATAAATTCCCAATTACTCCACTGAGGTCTACAGGCATCACACCTAGACCTGTAGCAGAGTCGAAAACCATACGTAAAAGCGACCTCAAAGACTGCCTGTGCCTTCCCCATTTTCTCATGATGATGTTAAACACACTACAGAAAGAAAAGGAAAAAAGAGGAAAGGAGTGGAGAGGGAAGGAAAGATTGAGGGCAAGCAAGAGATGCATCCATCCCTTAAGACAGTGATACGTCTTGCACCTCAGAGAGTATTTGTAAGTGACAAAGAACAGAGGAATGGAATACATTATTTCTCTTTTCTTTAGTTTTAATAAAGTCGGCTAATGCACAGGTAAAAATCAACCTAAATAGTAGGTAACGTGATATTCATTTTCAATAAAAAAAATCTTCAGGTTTGCCTTGTGTTAAGAGCTTTCTATGTTCACTCAAACTCCAAAATGCCACAGCATTGAAGTTGTTAAAGGCCATGCATATAACAGTTGTATTATTTAAGCCATATGCATAGCTCATAGCATTCTGTACTATGATTTGAGCTAGACAGCTAACAATAACTGAATGGTGAGCATATGTGTCAGATTTATCTGTTCATAAAAACAAATGTACAGTGTTACCCAACTGAAGCTGTTATAGAACATAAGCTGACACTCACGTTATCAGTACTTAATTGGCAACCGGTATCTGTGATATACAACAAAAAGTTTGAGAAAAGTGAGTGTAGGGCAGTTTCTTCTATATGTTTCTAGATGGGACACTGGATTCCAAGGTATCTGACAAAATATAAGAAATACTGGGCTCAAAACTTTATCGTGGTGCCCTCTCTGTCTGGAAACACTGGAAAGACACTTTGCCATGCTCAGAAACATTCTTCTAGCAATTTTCAAAGACTGACAGGCAGTAGAGAGAAAGGGAGATAAATGCTTATATTTGAAGCAATCGACAGAGAGGGCAAAAAGAAGAATAATGTCCTAGCCTAATTTTGGCATCATTAGCACCATACTCTCAACCAGACATTCTCTAATGTCTGGTTGAGAGTATGGTGCACAGAGTGCTGTCCTCTGAAGATGCCAGCCACAGAGACTGGCGAAACGTTAGGAAGAACCCTCAGAACATGGCCAAAGAGCCCGAAAAACCCACAACAACCATCAGACATTCTCTAAGTTTGTACCACCAAGCCCTCCCCACTGAGGCAGCTGAAAATGATTTTGAGACCCCAAAACTTCTAAATAATCTTCTAAGTCACAGAACCTGATGGTCTGCCCCTACCTTAGATTTCTTGTTGTAAGGGCAGAATCACAGTTCCTCTAAATCCCCCTTAACACTGGCCTGCAACTGTAGCCCTATAATGACTCCCACAGCATAGTGCAAAGAGCCTGAATGTTTGTGTTTGAGTCTTAATACATGTATCTCAGTTTTCATTTTTTTTTCTACAACTAGCTGGGATAATAATGGCATTCTTCACAGGATTTTACGGCCTGCAAATAGACACCACATACTGTATGAAGCACTCCACATACTTGAAACTCAGAAATGTAGATCATAATCAGATATCTTATGAATAGGAGAGTGCAGGACTGTTCAATATGATTCTCACAGAAATAGATAAGAAATCCATAATCATTTTATGTTTACTAGAAACTCTAGAATGGAAGACAAAGTGAGTAATAGAACATATATATCTGTGTCTTACCTTGCAACATGCATCTATATGCCGATTCAGATATTGCATAAATGTGTGGAGGCATCTCGTGACGTTTTTTCCCCCTGTACATTTCAATAATATTCTCAGAGTAAATTGGGAGATTCTTGTAAGGATTTATCACCACACAGAAGAGTCCAGAGTATGTCTATAGGGAGGAGTGGGAAAAAGGAAGGTTAGCCTCTTTCACTGCATTCAGAAATATATACACTATTAGCCCACATGATACTGGAGTGGTTCTTGAACATAATCCTGGAAATAAAATGCCTCTTCAGTTGGAAGCATAATAGATTCTAAAGTAGAAAAAAAAGGCTTATTAATTGCTCATTGAAAGCCAGCTCCAAGAGGAATTCTAGAGCAGAATTCCCTGTTCAGTGCAGTAGCACAAATCAAAGGATATCTGCCAGGTGGTTGCCTAAATTCTTCTTCAATGCCTCCAGTGTTGCAGCACTCTCTACCTCTTGGGGTAAGTGGTTCCATTGTCATACTGCTCTAACAGTTAAGAAATTTTTCCTGATATTCAACTAAAATCTGGCTTCCTGTAACTTGAGCTCATTGTTATGTGGGATGATTGAGAACAGATCCTGCCCCTCCTTTGTATGAAAGCCTTTCAAATATCTGTAAAGTGCTATCATACCTTTCCTCAGTCTTCTTTTCTAAAGGCTAAACATGCCCAGTTCATTCAGACTTTACCCATAAGGCTTGGTTTCCAGCTGCCAATCCTTGTTGCCCTAATCTGAACTTGTTCCAACTTGACTGGTAACTTGACTTTAATTTCCTATTACCAAGATGTAGTTGTTTTGTACCGTATTAAATTTAAATTGATTATATATAAGAGGAAAAGCAACTGAAAACTCCTGACATTAATTTTAGTAAATGCAGTAAACTGTATAGGACATGCAGCTATTATGTACTCATTTACATTCAACAGTTTAACTGTCTTCCTCAGAAATCACTGGATCACCTCTATTTTCACGGTCAGTGTCTGCAGAACTACTAATTCTATGTACTTCAGTTTCAGACTAGCAAAGAACTGTTTTAAAACAACTAGAATGGATTACAGTGATGCCTTGACTTACAAACTTAATTCGTTCCACAAGATGGTCGTAACTCGAAATGGTCTTAAGTCAAAGCACCATATCCCATAAGAATGCACTGAAATGCTATTAATCCATTCCCGGGGGGGGGGGAATCACCAACAAAACAAACAAACAAAAAACACTGCAAGACCCATTGTAAACACAATGAATCCATTCCGGCCAAAGGGGGAAAAAACCCAAAAAGCAAACAGAGACAGCAAGACCCTTTGGAAATGAAAAAAAAGGAAAGCAAAAACCAGACAAACCCTGCAAGACCCATTGGAACTTGGAAAAAAACCCAAAAAAACAAACAAACCCTGCAAGACCCATCAGAAATTTGAAAAAACAAACAAGTAATCCCTGCAAGACCCATCACATCATAGAAATATAATCCCATGACCCAGCCCAAAACCATGCTGTAAACCCCACCGTTGGGAAAAGGTTGGGGACCACTGGTTTAAAGGATAAGGCCGGAAAAGCAGAGGAGTAGAGAGAGGGGGAGGGGGAGTTGAAGGAGAAAGGACATGAAGATGAAATAAAAAGGAGAGATAAGCAGAAGAGTCAGAGTGGACTGAGAGAAGAAAACTAAAACGGTCTTGCTAGAGGGTTGGGAGTGGATTGAACTTGAAAACCCTTGGACAGGAGAATGGGAAAAGATGATGGTGACCAGGGAGAAAGCCAAGTGGAGGAGGAGAGAGAAGGTTCCTTGGAAGCCCTCTTATGGGGGTGAGGGGGAAAGAGAAGCCAAAGGAGGAAGAGACAGCAAGACTTGGCACAGAAAGAAATGAGGAGAAGGACTGTGAGCCAGAGAATAGATTGAGATCAACCATGAGGGTCCAGGAGAATTATGAGAAATACCAGGAGATGATGAGTGGCGGAGAAAGGAACCAATGCAATCAATGCTACTGCCACTAGAATCAACACCTGGAATGATACCCCAGGCAGAGGAATCCTGGACTGTTAAAGAGGGAGAGAATGTAAAGTAGGAACTAAGGTCTCAAGGCCTTTCTTTCCCAGCTGGAGGGGGAGGGGGTTACAAGTAGACAAGATAGCTATTGCCCTGCTGAGCCGTTTTAAATAAATGCTGATTGTTATAAGCAAGAAAACAGTATTGGAGTGATTACATGAGGGGAGGGGAGAGACCGAAGGGAGGCCACTCATATACCACTTCACAACAGCACACAATTATTATCATCTGTGGACAAGGGAAATGGTGCTTTGCAAGCTTCTTCAGAAGGAAGAGATTTGAAAAGAAAAATAAACTTAGGGTTATAGTCGTTTGTTAGCTTCCCTAGTATTAGACAAATTCTAGTAGTGAGTCACAGCTAGAACACACCTGCAGAATTAGTGGGGATTTGGTAAGTCAGCTCCTCTATAAATTCCACTGATTCAACAGGCTTACTCTAATTATGATTTACTACTAGTTTTCAGGCACTGTATTGCCATCCATTCACTATTACCAATCAATGTTATGAAAAAATATTTCTTTTTTTTGGGGGGGGGCAAAATTTTTTCCAAGTACATTTTCTTCAGAAAAAAATTCAACCTTGTGACCAGCCCCTACCCAGGCTTGTCACTTTTTAAAAAACAACCTTCCTTTAAAGCAGGCTTGTCCAACCTGCGGCCTAAGGGCCGCATGCAGCCCAGGTCAGCTCATAATGCGGCCCAGTGCAATTTTTTATTTTTAAAGAAATTCCAAAGTTTTAAGTTACACTGCTGGCGCTTGCGGCCAGAATGCGGCTGGGGCATGTTGCAACAGTAGAGGGGGAGAGGGGGAAGGAAGGAAGGAAGGAGCGGGAGGGGAGGGGACAGGGGGGCTGCGTGACTGCATTGCGCCATCCCCGTCAATAGGTGGACCCCTTCTCAGCCCCATAAAGCCACCGGAGTCGAAGCTGGCAGCCTCTGCTGTCTGAGATTGCAGCTGCTGGTAAGCGCGCTTGGAGCGGAGCCGCGGAGGACAGCTAGGGCTGCCCCCCCCCATGCGGCCCAAACCAAATTTTCATCTTCTAATGTGGCCCAGGGAAGGTGAAAGGTTGGACACCCCTGCTTTAAAGGGCTTGACTTCAGCCATTATACATATTAGACCAAGCAATTAAAGAATGAAACAAATGATATTACCTTTATTACAAAGTAACCAAGTATAGGGAAACCGATTTCAAGGTCAACTTTTCTTCGGTTACAGCCCAACTGCCCAAAACACAACCTCCCCTCTTCAGGTACATCCTGACTCCTCTTCACGCCTTCCAGCTCTCCAGGCTCCTCCTCCTTCAGGCTCTCCTGGACAGGAAGGGTACCTGCACACACACACCTAGACAACCACCTTGTTTCCCCTTGTTATCATGCAGATTGGGCAAAGTTCTGTCACAAACCCACATCATTAAGCCAGGGGGGGGGGGAAACACAAGGATGTCATCTGTCGTAAAAACATTTGCTGGAAAACCACGTAGAGATGAAGTTTTTAAGAGTTCAAAAATTGAATTTATGGGGTGTCCACCCTCTTCTTAAAGCAACCCTCTTTAAAAACAAATTGTTTATCAGAGGTAAGGATGGGGGGGAACAGTTTATGACTAGCAGCAACTAAATTTCTACAGCCCAATATACAACAGCAACCACATATCCCATATCTAAATCCATTCTAGGAACTTTATGTTGCCCAGGAAAGCACAAGCCTAAACATCCCTCTCAGCGAGGAAACTATATTTTATATGTGTCTGTAACAGCAGGAGTGTATTACCATCAGCGGTGCAATACAGGAATACTTTTATTCACCTCTTGTAAGCTTCTGATGAATTAAGCTCTTTTCATAGTATGTAGGCCCATAACTTCAACTGTCACTCAGTGAAGAAAGGTACTTTGCTGAGTGACAGTTGAAGCTATGGGTGTAAAAACTCAATTTTAGGTAATACTTCTGGAACCAATCAGACTCTTAACTGGTTCTTCCACTTGGTGAGAGAAAAGCAAGCTCATATAACCATAGCATTATATCAGAAATTGGAACCGTATAAGAAATTTTATTGTGTAGTATTCTACAAGTTAGGTCACTGTAATAATTTAGTCTTAAAGCACCAAGAAACATTAAGAGAAGAACATATCAAAGTACATATCGAAAAAGTGAATTTGCATAATAAGATATGAGAAAGACATTTTTTTGAAATGTAATGCAGAATTTAGCCAACTCCTGCCCGGCATTAGAATAAAGCACTACTGGACAGTTTTGCTTAGTAATCTGAAGTTTCTGTGTTTTCAAGCCCAGAAAGCATCTGGAAGCATTCAGGCAGGACACTGTTAGTGTCCTGAAGGAAACAACTGTATAATTTATCACAGTATCACTTGAGTGTGTTTGTGGAACCTTATCCAGAGCACATTCCAGCATTCCTTAGCTCCCTTTGAGCAACAAGGCCTATGACCTATTCTTCTGGCAATAGGAACTATCGACCGATTAAGTTTTGCAGAGTTCTGTACTTGCTATCATAAAGGCAGGGAAAAGATCCAAGTATAATTTTGAAACAATTTAATAATTTCAGAACACAATGTTGTTATAGAAAATTATAGCATTATAACTGCATATCTATCCTAGCAGCAGCTGTACTTAAAGACTATATTCAAGCTTGCTCAAGTTAATGAATTTAGTGACTGCTTCTAGGAGAGGATTTCTACAACATTTCACATTTTCACTGCAACCTACATTTGAACCCATAAACAAGTTCTAACATGTTTCTGAATAATAGCCTTTCTCATCAAATGTCATAGAAATCCTCTTCCTACTGCAATGGAATCAATAACCCTTTTTTAAAAAGCAACTTTTTATATCATAAAGTTTATTTTCCCTACATAATTTCACTAATTTCCTAAAAGATATCCTCTAACCCACTTTGTACATACCCATTAGCTTACAAAGGACATTCGGTTCTGGACAAATAAAACCAGAAGAGTGTAATATAAATAAACCCCCTTTTGATTCCACAGTTTATTCTGAAAAAACTTTCCCAGTGCAGAATTTTGATTCTTCACTTCATTTTGATTCTTGTACTCGCTTCACTTCATTTTGATTCTTGTGTTTCTCCTATAG